GCCTTGCACGCAGCCAACATGGCTGATCAGTGATTGATTCCTCCACCCCTCACGGAAAGCCCGGCAAGCTACCAAGAGTATCTCACCCGCACGGCAAAGCCTGGCAAGCTACCTGTGACATATTCGATATGCCAAAAACAGTAACAACAAGTCTCACAATTTGTTGTGAGATGTTACTGGTGCCCGCTCAAGCAAGTCAATGAACAACGGGAGGACAGTTCTAATTTATTGAATCATCATGAGAATAGTTACAAATATTTCAGGTTTAAGACTCGGTCATACAATGATCAAACACCCATTCCTTCACCAGTGCAGATTTTCCACCACCAAGAACCCCAATATACACCCCCATGCCACTCCTCTCCATGCCTGTGAAGCCACTTAACTCTCTCTACTTTGATTACATTCATTATTTTGACAAAAGATGCACCATTATTATTTGGAATTTCCCCCCAACAATCAAACCTGCTGAAAAGGCATCATGAAATAATTTGTTTTCTATTGCTGGTTATGAAGACCACATGATGTCTTTGGATTTTGGATTTCTGATATTTTACTAATTAAGTCTGGAGAGATTTCTGCCAAAAACCAAATAGTTCCGAGATTGATTTGTGTGCCTCTAGGCCTATGGCCGCACCAGAGAACTGCTCATGGGAGGCAACTCGTGGTCTCAGCAGGGTAAGAAGCACGTGCCAGTTCTGCCCCCCATGCCATGAGGCCGCAATTGCTCCGTCACTGCCAGCTCATACCTGGCTGTCCAATAAGCTCTGAGGCGGTGGCCACCATGCCACGGCTGGGGCGGCGAGGGGGAGGGGGAGGAGACAGACACCCTTTCCCTCCCAGGGGTGGGGGGGACACAGTGTCGTAGCTTAATGCATAGTCCATTCACATTTCTGCCAGAAGCTGCTGGGTTCCAAATTAGGTCTGTGTGCCTCTGGGGTCATGGCCGTGTCAGAGAGCTGCTCATGGGGGCCTGAAATTTTCTTATTTAACCTATAGTAATCTGTCTAGAAACACCAAGGGTTCTCTTTGTAAAATACTTTCCTGTGCTTTCATGAGCCTTCATGCGATTCTCTGGCTATAGGAAAGTGGGGCACTTCTGTTAACAAAGAAAGAGCAGGGGATTTTTTTGACCAGGTTACTTTCAGTGTCAGTGCCTGCAGTCATGGCTCGCTTAAATACCTGAGTAGGTGATGTGTCTCGGTGACCCAGTCAACTTGTGACCCTCTAGTATTTCATGTTCCCTGATTCGATCTTAGGGGGCAATGCTATTAGGACCTCTTTCATTTCTCCTAGAATCTCAGAATGGTGGCATGGACTTGCTCCCGGTAGAACCACAGCCATTAACAGTGCTCCCAGCACGAGAGTGTCATTCTCTGCTGCGGGCAGGAGGTTGGGGGAGAGAGGAAGCTCACAGCTGCAGGATGTGTGGCGCTGAACAGGGGATTCATCTCATCTCAATGACAGAGAGTAACTTCCAGGCAGCCCTCCATATACACAGCAGCACCAGGCAATTAAAGCAAAGGTCCTGCATGGCACATTTGCAAAACAGACTTGAGGGGAAATTCAGTCAAGGGATAATCAGGGACATTTGACTTTACATTCTGTCCTAGACCTCTGGCTTTCCTTGGCTGTGGGAAATCCTCCCCTTAATAATAAGTCTAAGGAGAGTCGCTTAGGGGAAATAAATTTTGATTAACTTAGACTATCAGGGTTGCAAAAGTGTGCCCAGGCCAGAATAGAAAGGAATGAACCATGATGCTAATGATGAACATCAAAGGAACTTTCTGATCAATTATCACCTGTGGCCAAAGCTATGTAAACCTCCCAGTCTGGGCTCTTTATGTGCTTATTAGTTCTTGATGTACCTAGAAAATCCTAATGTATCTGCCAACTTTCTTTAATATACCTGGTAACAGAAACAATGGCTCACACCTCTGGGACCAGGAGCCAGGCTCGGTGGTCAGAAGTCATGCTCAATAAATGGCCAGCTGTCATGATTAGCAGCAACCCGGAAAGCCCAGTGTCTGTCAGTCTCACTTTTCTTGATGATCCTTCTGGACCGGGGTCAAAGGTGCCAATCCCATTGGCTTGATTGTGGTAGATTGCCACTCTGGAGGATAAGCCAGGGCTCAGCTTTGAAAACCGTATGAGGGTTCAGCACTGCTGAGACACACACACACACACACACACACACACACACACACACACACACACACATGCACATACACACAACCAAACAAAAAAAACAAAACCACGTCCAGGCTATTTCCAGAGAAATAGTCATTGCTTTGTGAGATGTTGTGTGCAGAGAACGTCAACTGCAAGTCAATGTTAACTTCATTGCTGTCAGGGTTGGTAGCAAACATGAAGAAGCAAGAAGGATGGTGACAGCAGGGAGTGATGAACCCACGTCCCTGCAGAGCCTGATGTCCAGGCCCACGGCTCTTCACCGGCCTGACTCCTTCTGCTGACCTTTGTCAGGGGGCCACACCCAATGGCCTTCGGGATTCCTCCTGGCTCTGCTCTCAGGAATCACCTCTGGCATAGCTCAGGGAACCCTCTGGGATGCTGGGGATGGCACCTGGGTGCCCTCCCATGACAGACAAGCTCCCTCTCTCTGTGCTTGACTGCCCTCAGCAGGTCAGTAGTCGTGGGCAACAGTCAGGACTGATCAGCCAAAACACGCATCTGTGTGGAACCTCGTGGACCCTGACCCGCTGCTAACAGCTAACCAGCCTTTGCTTTCATGGCCTTCCTCTTTGAACTGTAACCCAAGGCCTCCCTTATTTCAGTTTAGTTCTTTCTTCAAATCTGTGTTCTGTCGTGGTATTGGGGACCCACTCCTAGGAGCTCTCAGCCAAATGGACCTGACAGCTAGCTGCTAGAAGTTGAGCATCTCTTGCAGCTCAGGCCCTGTCAAGACCACAGGGCCACTGAACACTCCCCACCCAGCAGTGCTCGGAGCTCACCATGGGACCAGGGCTGTAAGCAGGGCTGAATAAAGACCCCCTAACCCTCGTTCTATATCCCCAAACTCAGAGGTGAATCCTGTGTGGCTTGCTTGATTCATTGACTGCATGATTAAACAATCAGGAAATACAAGATACTTCCTGTGTCATAGAGAAAACAGCATGGACAGAGGATTAAGAAATTTGGTAAGTGAAGGCTGGCATCCAGCTCATGGACTGGGCACACAGATTGCAGCAGAAGACCTGGGTTTCATCCCCAGCACCACAGGCTCCCCTGAGCACCTCCACAGAAACCATGAGAAGCCTCTGATCACCACAAGGTGGCACTCAAGAAAAAAGATGAAATTCAAGAAATGGATAAGAGCATGTTTTGCCAGAACAAATTTTTTTTCTATTTTTTTTCTATTTTTTTATAATTTATTTCTTTATTGAATCACTGTGGGAAAAGTTACAGAGCTTTCGGGTTTAGGTCTCAGTCATGTAAATATCAAACGCATTTCCCTTTACCAATACTTATTTTTAACCCCGAACCCCAATAGAACCCCACCTCCCACCCCTCCCATTTCCTGTGAGGCAGATGAGTTCTAGTTAATACTCTATCTACTTTGACTAGATACATTGTTTCGATAGAAGATGCACAATTATTGTTTAGAGTTTACGACCCCCCCCCAATCAGACATGCTGAAACAGCGTTGTGAAATGATTTGCTTTCTACAACTTGGTTTAAGAATAAAATGATGTCGCGCGACCGCAATAGCGGCCGCACAGTTTTGGATTTCTGCTGTTTTACTTATTGACCCTGGAAGAATTTCTATTAAAAGTTAGATAGTTAAGAGATTGGTTTCTGTGCTCTGGAGTCGTGGCCGTGCCAGAGAGCCGCTCGTGGGGGGGCAGCTGGCGACCTCGGTCAGGTGTGAAGGACGGCCCAGAACGCCCCCCCTTCCCATGAGGTCCCTGCCGCCCCCAGCCGCGGCTCAAACCTGCTGTCCACAAGGCTCCCGTGTGGCCGCCATCTTTCTTTCCAGAGAGGAGCGGGCGAGTGGGTCAACACCCTTTCCCCTCCGGGCAGGCATGCTGGCGCGGTTTAACACATAGTCCATTTGCTTTTCTGCTCCAAGCGGGTGGCTCTCTGTGCTAAGTCCTTGTGCCTCCGGGGCCGTGGCCGTGCCGGAGAGCCGCTCGTGGGGGACAGCTGGCGACCTCGGTCGGGCGTGAAGGACGGCCCATTACGCCCCCCTTCCCATGAGGTTCCTGCCGCTCCCACCACCCCCGGCTCAAACCTGCTGTCCACAAGGCTCCCGTGCGGCCGCCATCTTTCTTTCCCGCCAGAACAAATTTAATTCTGAATTTAAAAATATATATATTGAATATCTTGGGAAATTATTACGTTATGTGGAAGCATATATAATCTATGTGACTTCAATGGGGTAATGTCAATATTGCAAAAAATAATTGCTTAGAATTTATGCATTTTAAAAAAGCTCTCCAAATTATTAAAAATAGACCCAAATGTGACTCAGAGAGTGACCATTTCTTCTGGGAAATGTGGATCTCTGGAAGATATTTGCCTGTGATTCCGATGCACTCTCCTTCACAGCAGACAAGAAACAAAGACAGACTAAATGCCCCCATGAGAGAGCGTAACTGAACCTCCCCAGGAAGAAGTGGGGCAGCTGCCAACAGAATGGAACAATGTTCTTTGTTCAAACATGATGGGAACGGGGAGATGAAATTGGTCAAGAAGGGAGAATAAATTGTTGCATGTTTTCAAACACCTAAGGACAGGATAATTATGAAATAGCTGACAAGTCAACAAAACCATACTCAGCTCTGCCCAAAGAGCTTTCACCCCCAATTCCCAAGTCCTATGCCATTTACATGTTGAACAGTTGTGATTGAATAATCAGGACACAAACCCCTTAATCTGAGTCTTTATTATTTCATGGGGAGAAAAAGACCAGACAGGGGGAGGCAGCTGAGCCTGCAGGCGCTGCTCCCGTCAGCCGAGCACATGGGTCCCTCCACGCAAGCACATGAAGCTTCAGTACTCGTCAGCAAACGGGTAGTTGGGGTGGCCTATCCCACTGTGGGCAGAGGACGGGTCAGTGTGGTGGTTGCCTTCTCGTGGGATCGACCAGGGTGCCCAAGGGTGTGGGCTGGGTCAAGACCCCCCTTTACCCACCGTGTCAAATTCTCCCCAACATATGGAGGGACCCTGGACAAGTTCCCCACAGTCCAGGGGACATGGCGTCAAGGCCATGGGCGTGACAGAGATCCCAGTGTCTGGGCCGGAAGGACCGCGGCCCCAAGCTGAGTCCCTCCTTAGGGCTCCTGTGGCCCCTGGACAGGAGGAGCCCATGGGGCTGCCCTGCACTGCAACCCCTCCCCCCAGGACACCCAGCCCTGCCCCCACGGGCCGCTCTAAGGGGCCTCGGGGGGCCCCAGAGACACCCCACACCTATTTCCACAGCTCTTTTCCTGTCACTCAGTGGTTGGCCCTCACTTTTGCTTCCTTCCACGCTTTTCTTTTTGGGAGTACCCGGCCCTATCCCCCCAGCTGTTCTGCAGTTCATGGGGCTGGCATCTGTGAGACAGAATCAGGGAATGGGTCCCCGGGCACTAAATCTGGGGTTCAGGCCACAACAGTGCTTTCACATGAGGCCACAAGGCATTTTGCGGCAGTCCTGGATCCAGTTCCTGCTGTTGCCCACTCAGTACCCTGGCTGGGCCTCGGGCCTGCGGCATCCAGAAGCTCAGTTCCACATCTCTGCTCATACCAGCCCTTTGACCTGACCCAGGAAGCTTGTTCCCTACTATCCGCAAAATGTACAGATACCCCATTGCAATCGCCTATGCCACACTTACAATTCCATGCTGAAATAGCGGAAGTTTTTGTTAAGGCTCTCCAAGGCTTTCATATCCTCTGGAGTTAATTCAAAATTAAATATCTGCAGGAAGAATAGAATCTCATGAGGACTTATGCCCAATCGGCAATCTATTTAGGGCTCCTATCATCAGCTTTGATATATTGATTGAGATGTACCTTTGCCTCAGTTTCCCTGTAGGCCTTCCCCATCTCCTTTTGTCCACATTGGACAAAAAAGAAATAAGATATAAAAGTCACACCACTGTGGGGCTGGAGCAATAGTATAGTGGGTAAGGCGTTTGCCTTGCACGCAGCCAACCCAGGTTCGATTCCCAGTATCCCATATGGTCCCCTGAGCACTGTCAGGAGTAATTCCTGCATGCAAAGTCAGGAGTAACCCCTGTGTATCACTGGGTGTGACCCAAAAAGCCCCCCCACACACAAAAAAAGAAAAAAGTCACACCACTGGGCCATCATAACTCTGAATGATTTGCTTCTGAAGCAACTGGATTCCTTTCCTTTCTGTTTTGCAATAGAAGAAAACCAGGACCAAATGGACAAAGAAGCTGTCCCTAGGGTCACACTTTGGTGGACCTTTTCATCCCCACGACCCCTGTGAGTTGATGAGTTCTAGAACTTAAGCAAACAAGGGAGAGAGCACACCTGCCTGCAGGCTCTCTCCAGGGTTAACTGGTCTCAGGAAGACTCCCTGACCACGGGCGTGACCACCCACTTGCCCAGGATGGGCCCCACACTCTGCTTTTTGCGTACAGAGTCCTCCCTCCACCAGGAGAAGCCCAGTGTGTCTGGGGATTCACACAGATCCCACAGTCAGAGAAGGCCCCTGTGAATGAAGCCTCTCCCCCACAGCCTCGATTGTGGCCTTTATTGGCGTCATGGTCTGTTTGGAGAGTCCATGAAGCAGACAGAGCAGCAGTAAGAGAGTCACAGTGGGAAGCAGAGGGATTGATGGTTAGAGAGCACAGTGGTCCTCTCTCTGTCATCGGCCTGTCCCTCTGCGGTCTCCTGAACACGCTGCAGGCAGGCTATAGTGCCGTGGATTTGGGGTAGCAGGTTGAGTGTACAAGAGCAGAGGATGACACTTTTTTCTCACTGTCCCAACCAGGCAGAATTGTCCTTCAGATTTTCCCCACTAACTAAATAAAACAATTCCAAAGCCCAAGAATAGGAGTATTTGCTTTATAAATCACTTGCCAATGTCTTCCTCTCCCAAAATAAGCACATTATGAAATACTTAGCCCTTATCTAAAATCAATATGGAGCTCACACAGTTCCTCAAAGTGTGTCCAGGTTCACAGGAAACCCTGGCAGCAAGCACTGTCCATAGGAAGCCCCAGGAGAGAGGAGAGAACTCTGGAGACCCCTTCCCTGTGAACCTTCTTCCTGCTCTGGCCTGCCAAGAGCTGTGTAGGGACAGTGAGCACCATGGCCCAGAGCCAACACTGCACCGGGTCAGACTGGAGAGCTCCAGAAACCTTTCTCATAGACTCAGTTTCAAGACATTGGGGGCCACACAGCACTGAGGCACACGGTGGGGCTGGGTGTCCCCTCCGGAAGGCCAGATCCCGTGGCTCCACGTGCAAATAGTGTCACCGGGTAGGAAAGGGAGGAGGGGAACCAAGGCTTTCTAGTTCTTTGTATAGGGAAGGACCCCAAGCCTGACGCTCACAGAACTAAGTCTGCTCATGTCACACCCAGGAAGTGTCTGTGCTACCCTGGAGGCCAGCAAAACTGGCCCAGGTGCCTGTGCTCTGTCGCCTGTCTGTGGTATTTCCCCCTGGACACCAGGAGGATTAAGTGGGAAGAGGACATGTGGGTGTTTGCTCACAGGTGAGAGAGTCAGCAACTCGTCACCCTCGTCACCCTCGTCACCCTGGCCACCGTGCCCATACCTGGAAGTTCTCCTTGATCCTCTTCTCCGTAAAGCTCTTGGCCAGCACCACCACTCCCCGCTGCAGCTGGTAGCGCAGGGCCACCTGCCCCGGGCTGCGGCCGTGTTTCTTGGCAATGGCTGTCAGGACTGGCTCCTCCAGGAGATGCGGACTGTTTTCAGGAATGCTAGAAAAACGAAACACAGGCACAAGGGTGTGAGGTATGAATGGTATAGATCATAACACCCAAGTCCCCATATGCCCGTAAACTGGAAGAAAAGGGGGATGAACATGGTTTTATTTCAGGGTCGATGTCAAGGGTATGCATAGATTCATTCCTAATTATAAGTCATTGATTGCAACCAAATTCACCATCAATAGCCAAATGGAAAATAATCAGAGGTAGATGCCCAACTACAAAAGTGACTTGTCAGGAGATGAGATGAAGAGATGGTATGCTAAGTAAGGAAGCTGGGTGCAGAGAGGGCCTCGGTGCCTGCCTCTCCCAACAGCCCATGCACAGGAACCTGCCCAGACCAAAAAATAAAGACGAGAAGAGGTCCTGGGGCAGGAGCCATGGGTGAACGTAGCACGGCTGGCCCCTTCGGGTGGTGGAAGGTTCTGTCTCCCTCAGGCTGCGGCCCCCACAGTCCACCCGTTTGTCAAACTGAGAAACTTAGAGTGCATGTGTGCCACGTGGGCAAACACGTCCATCCCCTCACTTTCTAAGTGCACGTAGGCTGTGAGAGGCGGTTCCACCTGAACCTGGCATGCTTAGAACATGGGCCCAGCCCAGTGTGAAGCGCCTTCAGCACTGCTGGCAGGTCTCCACACCAATAGTGAGAAGAGAATAGTAGAGTGGGTTGGAGTAGAAACATGGGTGGAACAGTTGTGCAAAAAAACGGCCAGGACCTCAGCCTGGAAGGCAGGAGGGCGTCTGCAGCTATGATGTTAGTGCATCTGTGTATGAACCATCTTGCAACATAGAGACATGATTTGGTGAGAAGAGGTTGGCAGGAGGGTTGCTGAGGCAGGAATAGCAGACTGTCTCATTACTAATTTGGAATTCTCTGCGACCCCAGGGCGCTGTAGGCCACAAGGATAATGTCCCTGGACTTGCAATAGTCCAGCAGCTTCTGCTGGTTCAGGAAAGGATGACACTCCACCTGTAGGACCAAAAACAGAGATGTCAGGTCCCTGGTCCACTGGCAAGGCCCAGAGGAAGCTCTCCTGAGTCAGGAGCAAATGGGGAGCTTGTTCCTGCACGTCCTTTCCACAGACCCTCACAGACTGGTCAAGAGCGCCATCATCAGACCTGAGGAAACTGTTTGCTTTGCTTTGCTTTGCTTTGCTTTGCTTTGCTTTGCTTTGCTTTGCTTTGCTTTGCTTTGCTTTGCTTTTTGGTCCAACACATTGATCAAGAGTTAAGGGTTACTCTTGGCTCTGCACGTGGGAATTACTCCTGTCGGTGCTCAGGGGACCCTATGAAGATGCCTGGGGTCAAACCCGGTCAGATGTCTGCAAGACAAATGCCCTCCCTGCTGTGCTATCGCTCTGGCCCAAGGAAACCAGTTTCTTCTGGTTCTTTATTAGTGTTTGGAAAAAATAGACTCAGACCACGTGGGAACCCTAAATGCCATTTCTTCCTGGGAGAAACCAGGGTGCTGAGACCCACAGCTGGTTCTGACTAAGTGCTAATGGAGTCAGGAAATGGAATCACATCACAGACCCATGCTCTCCACTGACCAAGAGGTCAACAGTGGGGTCCTCAGAAGGGCAGTAACTGCAGTTGGGACAGCAGTGGAGAGATACAAGAGCTGAGGCAGAACTTCAGTACAGAAACCAGTAAGTACAATCAGCTGTGTGGAGAAATTAAAGGAAAGGGCTTCATTTCCTTCGAATTTTTGGAGAGGAGGTGGGAGGAGCAGACGGTAGGAGGGGTGGAGAAAGAGCAACAGAGGAAGGAAGAGAGGAAATGAGAGAAGAAAAGGTGATCTCTTGGCTTAAGAGGGAGATGTGGCATTTGCTAAATGTTCAGTGAAGATGCTGTGTCCGCCTGCCAGCCTTCCAGATGCAGCAGAGGAAATGTTGGGGCTGGCCTATAAACTGATTATTGCATAAACGTGGAGATGCGTTGAGGAAGGGGGCCATTGTTAGAGTCTTGTACCATTTTACAGGGATATTACAAAGATAAAAAAATCTCCTAAAATCTACAAAAAGAATATCTCCATGCTTTATATTTTCTCAAAAAATAAAAAATCCATAAAACAAACACAATGCCAACAGGAATTCCATTTAAAAAAAACAAAAATTTTTCTAGCCTCCCATGCTAATGTTTCATCATTTTCCCTCATAAAGGGTTACGGTCTTTGCAGCATGGCACACGCTGTCCGTTCAACCAGCCTGACTGCATGTCATCACTCTCCCCTCCCGGACTCCCTGTCCGGGCCCCAGGAGCAGTGACCCTCTGGCCCCATTGCTGTTGTTAGTGGTGCTGACCCAGGAGCTTGGCTCCATCAGCAGTGCTGAGTGACCAGGACACCCTGGGGGGCCCTTGAGCAGAGCTCCTAGAGTCCCAGGAAGGCCCCATCATGAGTAGCGCCAGCCTCCTGCAAGCAGGAGCACAGGGCCAGCGTGTCTACCAAGCAGCTGGCCTCTGCTCCCAGGCCTGTCCGGATCCCCCATCAGAGGCTCCCTGACCATCCCGGCCCTGGGGGTACTCTGGGTGTGCAGGGAAGCACTGCCCTCCCCACAACAGCCTCCCGACCCACCCCAGCACAGATCTTCAAAACGCAGCTGGAAACTGCTGACCTTCCCGTTCTACAAGAGCTCTAATGGTTTTAGATTCTCTGAAAAGCTCCAATTAAAATCTTAGGATAGTTTTCTATTTTTTTCCAAATCTTTCCAATAATTCTTTACAAACAGATCCCTAGAAGCAGAGTAAAAGAACAAGTATTTGTTTCTGAATGCATTATTAGATCATTTTCAAACTCACTAAGAGTTGCCAATCTGTGTGGGCCACGAGTGACCATGGGCGGAGCTGGTACTTGTGGAAGGTGTTTTCAGGGGATGGTTCCAGCCCTCGTCTGCACCTGTCATGTCACAGCTCCTGTGGGGCTGCGCTGAGCCCCCAGAACTGACCCAGGGACTGTCTCTCCCGGCCTGGTGGCTGCTCACCCAAGCCCCTAGGCTCACTCAACCCATCAGACTCTCAGACACCCGCTGCTCCCAGCTCTCGGCCTGGCGGGTAATGCTGACAGGCCTCTGGCCAGGCCCTGCCTCTCCCTGGTCTTGCAAGCTCTGAGCTCACCCAGGACTGACTGTCCAGCTTCGGGAACACAGCTGGCCAGTGCAAACGGGGAAAAGACCCCCTCCAACTCCTTGGGGGGCTCCAAACACAGGCCCTGGGCAAGGACCCTCCCAGGGCATATCCACAGGCCCCTGCGTGCTCACCCAGGAGAGGGCTCTGCCCCCATCCGCCCTTCCTGCTCACCCAGGCATCTCTGGAGTCAGGACCCCTGGGGGGGACAGTGGGGGCGGGGAGGGAGCAGGAAGAACACAGGCCCACCTGCGGCTCACCTGGTTGCACACGGGCTTGTACTTGAGCCCCGGCTTGCTGAGGATCATCTCCAGCTGTTTGCGGTTGAAGTTGGACACGCCGATGGACCTGGTCAGCCCTGCGTCTTTGCAGCTCTCCAGGGCCTGGGGACGGCGCATGGGAAGCCCTATCATCTGCCCGCACTCCGTGACTGGGTGCCCTGAGACATGTCCTCAGGAGCCCCCTTTCCACAGGTGGGTCACTGCCTTCAGAGCCGCATGGCTTCCCGCATCCCAGTCGTGTCCAGGCATGGGACCTATCCCTGGCTTATGGGACCCACAAGGCTCTGGGCTCATACAGGGCCAGGACGGAACCCAGGCCTCCCTGTGCCAGGCTGTCCTTGGCACTCGGGCCTTCTCCGTGCCCTGTGGAGGTTCCATACCAATGGGCACCAGTGTTGGCCTTAGAGACTGGTGCTCTGGATGGAGGAAGCATCTGCCCGCGGGTGTGGAGAAGTTTGGGACAGGCACTCTGGAGGCTTTACCCCAAACTAGCACCCTTCCTGGGGCCCCAGCCCCTGACCCCCTACAGTAACCTGGTGTCCCCTGGATAGCCCCCATGGCCCCGACTGTCTGCCCCCTTGTTTGGCTCCAGTCTCCTCACTAAACTGGGGGCCCAGGACCCAACAAAGGCATCCCAACACCACGATAGGATGAAACCCTAGAAGTCACCCCAGCACTATGACATGGACAGACACCCCTGCCCTGGGCTCTGGGACTCGGGCCCTGATCCCTCACCCCGTTGGTGACTGTCGGGCTGTGGGGCCACACTTACCTCCCACGTCTGACACAGGTCCACAGTGTCTAAGATGATCTTCCCGCTGGTGTCCATGGGCAGGAGATCCTCCCCTGGCTGCGGGGTAGAGAGAGCACAGGGAGACGTCTCACTCACAGCAGCTTCACTGCTCAAATATGCACAGTGTGTGTGTATGTGTGTGTGTGTGTTTGAGTGTGTGTGTGAGCGTGTGTATGTTTTTGAGTATGTGTAAGGGTGTATATGTGTTTGAGTGTGTGCGACTGTGTATGTTTGTGACTATGTGTGGTTGAGTGTGTGTGACTGTGTGTGTGAGTCTGTATATGTGTTCGAGTGTGTGTGAGTATGTGTGTTTTTGGGTGTGTGTGACTGTATATGTGTGTTTGAATGTGTGTGTATGTGTGTTTGAGTGTGTGTGTATGTGTGTGTGAGAGAGAGAGAGACAGAGAAACAGAGAGAGAGAGAGAGAGAGAGAGAGATCCCAGATTTCAATTCTCTGAGTCTTGGATCTGGAATAAAAACAGGGCTGGGGCTGGAGCAATAGTACAGGGGGGAAGGCATTTGCCTTATGTGTCCAATCCACATTCAGTCCTAAGCATCCCACATGGTCCCCAGGAGTAATTCCTGAGTGCAGACCAGGAGTGATACCTGAAGATCGCCGGTGTGCCCACGAAAACAACCCAAATTACAGGTAGAAAGGTGGTTCAAGGGGAGTGGAAATGCCCACACCCATGTTGATCTCCTGAGGCTCCTCCCCGCCAACAGCAGCCATGCCGCCAGAGCAGGGTGAAGAGTCTCCTCTCAGAGAGAGCTACCTGCAGGGGGACGGGGATGTGAATGAGGACAAGGTCCACATAGTCCAGTCTGAGTTTCTTCAGGGATCCGTCCAGGCACTGACGGACCAATTCTGGTTGTAAGAAGGTTCCCCAGACCTGCAGGGGCCAAAGAACTATTAATAGCTTCTAGTTTTACACATTAGGGGCACAGATCCAACCCAGGCATTACAAGCATGAATACCAGAAGCTTGAGAGACAGACCAAGGGGCTGAGGCTGTCTGCGCAGGACCCCTGGGACCCTGGGTATGAAGCAGAAGTTTTCAGGTGGGGGCACTCCAGGTTGGACCCTGACATGGCTCCATCCTCGGGGACAGACACACATCTCAGAACCCATCCCTCACTGATGACACCATCACAGACAGTGCCCAGGCAGGTCCTTCCTCTCCAAAGGCCTAGGCCATGCAGGAGGAAACAGACACTCATACCCAGACTACCTGGGACACCCTCCAGGGTAGCAAGGCCTCACCCACAGCCCAGCCCTGTGTACCTTGGTGGTGTAGAACAAGTCCTCGCGCCTCACGGTGCCATCAGCCATCTTTGCATGCATTGCCTCTCCCACCTCCTCCTCATTTTCGTAGAAATAGGCAGCATCAATGTGCCGGTAGCCAACGTCAATGGCCACTTTGGTGGCCTCACGGACTTTGCTCTTTGGAACCTTCAAAACACAAGTGAAGAGGATGGTTGGCTTCGGGACTCAGGGGGAGCATTTCCCCCAGCTCCTCCCAGGGTACGCCTGAGGGCTCTGTGTCACCTCCTCCCTGAGGCCCTCCAGCCTCTACAGCTCCCCATCCCTGCCCTCACACTCCCTTTCTCCTGCACTAGGGGTGACCCTGAGCCTGGGGAGGGAGCTGGTGCCCAGGGAAGCCAGAGTCTCCACCTCCTCAAAGCCCAGGGCAGGCCCATAGGGTCCCCGAAAACTCCCCCTCCCACAGGAGAACTGCAGCTGGGACCAGGCTGGGCATGGCTGGTGCCCCCCAGATTCCCTCTGAGGGCTGAGGGATGGTGATGGCCGGCTAGTTGCTTGGACCCCAGAGAGCCAAGGGGTCCTGCTGCTTCTGCCCCGGAAACACCAGGTACTTCTGTTTTGAGACCTGCCTCAGCCCTGAGGATACCCGTCCCACACACTGGTTTCCCTGCCAAGGGTTGTGGGGTCCTGGGGTGCTGGGGTGCCTGAGGAAGAAGGACAGAATGGTGGTGCAGGACTTGGGGACCTTGAATTTATGCAGGACCCGTAGCAGAAGCCTCACATTTCACCGAGACCCTCGTCTTCCACACAGGCACAAAGCCTCCTCCGAGCTCAATTCATGACTCCAAGGACCAGTCTGCACCAGGCCCCAGGGGTCACCTGCCCTGTCCCGGGTCCAGCCTCTCAGGCCTGTGGGGACCGTCAGCACCCGGGACAGAGGCATCCTCATCAGAGGAAGCAGAGCAGGCGCCCATAGGCTCCTTCCCTGGGCCTTGCACAGTCAGTGCACTTTGCCTGTAAATACTGTGATTAAAATTCCTGCTGTCTAGAGGGCGAGGGACAGACACTCTGACTCTGGACTGTGTGACTTCACCTGAGAGGTAAAGTTGGGAAGGACACTGTAGGTGGTGAGTCCTGAGCCCCTTCCAGACATACCGTCCTGGGGTTGCTGTGCTGGTGTCCTGCTGACCACAGCGGCCTCTGGGCTCTGCCTCCAGGGCATGATCCTCCCAGCCCCACCCCACTGAGCTCCCGGAGGAGGGTCAAGGCCCTCAGTGGGGAGCCCAGCCCAGCCTCTGGTGCCCGAGCTCAAGGCGCCCTTCAGAGTTCCTGGCCTGGACTCGTGCAGCCTCTCAGGGGACAGCAGCTCCCAGCTGGGACCCTCCTGTGGCTCCCTCCAAGCCCCAACTGCAGCTGAGCTGCCAGGCAGCACCAAGATTTTGTTGACCTGTCTGATGCTCAGATGTGACCCTAGAGGAGGTACTTGGCACTTCGCTGCAGACCAGCTGTGTGATCCCTGCGGTGAGAGCCCCCTTCCTCCCCCCACCCCCACCCCACACGTGAAGGGAGCAAAACCGTGTCATCATGGCAAGATGTAAGAAGATTCCAGAAAGAATCCCTGGTGACCCAATGTCCCGGCCTGTCCCCGGGTTGATTACGTGCATTAATAATAGGGACCCAGGTCTCCACACAACTGGGAAGTGACTCTGACGATCCATCTTCCACCAACAGTACCTCAGGGCACCCCATCTGTCTGAGAGCCACCCCAGCCAGCCACACGCCAGGAGAGACCCTCAGAGCTGGGACCAACTCAACCCCAGCACACTTACACCCTTAGTGGCATAGGTGCCAAAGCCCAGCATCGGCATGCAGTGCCCGTCACTCAGCTTCACACTCCAACTTCTCTTGAGATCCATCCCCATGCAGAGTTGCTGGCCACAGTGCTTCCACTGGCCCGGCCAGAGCCTGGAGTGCTGTAACAACACGTCTTGCAGTTCTTATCACTTCGGCACAAATAGGCGGACCAGGGCACGATGCCAAGGATTCCGAAGTGAAACCGGGCCAGATGCTACAGTTTCTGGGCATCCCCTGTGTCCACAGGAAGCTGCAAGGGCCACTCAGCCCCCCGTGGCACAGTGCCCTGTGGAGGGGACAGACCCTGTGTGGCCCGTGATGACAGCTGACTGAAGTGCTCCCACCTCCTCGCAGGGGAGCAGCTGGGCCTAAGCCCCTCTGAGCACTCTTGTCCTCAAGGATGAACCCTGCCCCCACCAGGTGCCCCTCACAGCCTCTGTAGATCTGGCGGGTCCCCACCTGTGGCCAGCACAGTGCCCGCACACATCCCCCACAGCAGATGGGTCAGCCCTAAGGACCCTCCACACGGGACCCTCCTGCACCAGAACACTCCAACACCGGGACCCTCTATGTCTCTATCTATATTTGTGATGAATTATGTGTCATGTGAGCAATGCAGATTAAGGAGATGAGCCTTTGCTGTCTTAGTCCAAAGTCTGAAAGAATAGAGGATGGATGGAGAAAAAGGGAAGAGAGTCCAGTACAAAAGGAAAGGTGAACATCTCAGAATTAATGAAGTATTGACCTAATGTGTTTTTGGTGAGTAGGGTTAGGAAAGGAGGAGGGATACTGGGGACATCAATGGTGGAGAATGTGCACTGGCGGAGGGATGGGTGTTTGATCAGTGTATGACTGGAACTCAAACATGAAAACTTTGTAACTGCAGCTCATGGTGATTCAAATTAAAGAAAAAAAGCAAACGTGATTAGAAAATGCAAAATTCAAGTTTAAAATAAACTCAGGCAACTGTAAGTTTCTATTCCTTTGACTCCGTTCCTGTATCTGGCAGCTGTAGAAATACCTTTACTCTTCTGGTCCCTTCAGCCTCTCCTGTCTTGACATGCATGATGGAGAGGCACAGGAGAGTGGAGAGAAGGTTGGGGAGGGACTGAGGCATCCAGTGAGACAGGCCACAACAGGTCTTAGAGTGAAGGAGGGAGAGAGGTGAGGGATATTAATCAGCCGTTTCTCTACCGATAGTTCTTAACTCTGAGAACCTGGCAGGCTACCAAAAGTATCCTGCCCACACAGCAAACTCCCCGTGGCGTATTCAATATGCCAAAAAGCAGTAACAATGATGGGTCTCATTCTCCTGACCCTGAAAGAGCCTTGAATATGGCACTTTCTAAAATTTTAGGGCTAGGACGAAGGAGACCGTACTGGTGCCTGCTCGAGGAAATCGATGAACAACAGGATGACAATGACAGACATTGATTCTTTAACGAAGTGCTGGAGCGGAGCCTGCAAGGAGAAGGGCAGTCTGTGAGGCCAGCTGGGTCACCCAAGAATGAGACTGAAGGAAGGCAGGCTAGAGGGCAGGGAGACCTGGGGGACATCCGAAGTGTGCTGCGGATCTTCCATTTCAGAGTCACCTGAGGCAAAGGGGAAAGGAGGCTCTAAGGGAGATTCGAGATCACAGAATGAATCAGTTCAGAGATTCTAGGTTTCCCCAGGATAAAGACATGGAAGAGGCCTGAAACACTAAGACTTCTTGGGAGGTGCCCAGGGCTCGGCCCTCATGTGGCCACCTGGGTTCAAAGGCTGAGCCTAAAATCAGACACACTGGATACCTTTGACACCAAAGGAGAGCGAGGACCGGCCCAGCCCACCAGCATCTCCAAGTCCTCAAGCCAGGAGCCGGCTAGGTCACCAGGCACTCACCTCTCTATCTCCCAGCTTTGGGCACCAAATTACAAAACTGAAAGGAGGTTGCCATGAATGACAGGTCAGATTGGAGGTGAGACAGAGAGGTTAAATTAAAGAAAAGGAACGTGATGGGAACTGTAAAGTTTGCTTCACAATGTAGAACTGAGAGAGCAAAGGAGAGTCTCTGGCCCCTAAAACAGCAGGAAGCAGGTTTATATACAGAGAGGGCTTCACGTAGGTTCATAAAGAACAAAGGAAAACATTCAGGAATGTCTTTTCTTTAACCGCATTTTCTTCGGGCTAATCTCCCCATGTGGCTGTGGGAGCAGGAATTGGCTTGTCTACCACATACATGCTGGGAGTGGCATTTTAGCTAAGCAGGACCTTTTACTTCACCGGGGCTGACTCGCAGCGTCCCTGCTAACAGTGCTCTGTTCTCTGGATGAATCTTACCCTAAGACTCCAGCCTGAATAGATGCCCTAACAATATCCTTTTCATGGTTCCATCTAGGAATGAAAACTCTAAGGTGTGTCTTTATATGATCCTTAGGGATTATAACTTTCTACCTTTGCATGGTATTACCAAATTTGATTTTTAAATAGATTTTTTAATTGGATTAAAATCAGCACGTAGTGTTTTTGTGCTTTGGGAGAGATGCCAAGAAGTGGTATTGCTGGGTCATATGGTAGTTCTATTCTTACTATTCTTATCAAGTAATCTCCATATTGTTTTCCATAGTAGTTAAACCAGCCGATATTCCCAGCAACCTTGAAAGAAAGGTCCTTCTCACGACCTTCCCACCAACACTGGGTGTTATTACAATACTCTTTGACATAGGCCTTTCTCACTGATGTACTGTGATACATGATTATTGAGGGTTTTGTGCATTTCCGTAGTAATAAGTGGTGGTGAGTATTTTCTCATATGCCTACAAACCATTCTTGTGTCTTCTTTAAGGAAGTGTCTATCTTCTCTCGTTATTTTTGGATGAGGTTATTAGATTTTTATCTTGTTGAGTTTTGTATGTGCTTTATAAATATTGGCTATTCATCCTTTTTCTGACATATTGTGTGCAAATATTTTCTCCCTTTCTATTTTAGTCTTTTATCATGCAAATTGAATCCAAAAGGTATATGCACACCTGTGTTCATTGCAGCACTTAGTACAATAGCCAAGCTAAGGAAACAATCCAAATGTCCAACTACAGATAAATGGATCAAAATTGGGTGGTGTGGGGGCTGGAGCCATAACACAGAGGGTACGGCATTTGCCCTGCACGCAACCGACCCAGATTCCATTCCCAGCATCCCATATAGTTCCCCAAGCACCACCAGGAGTAATTTCTGAGTGCATGAGCCAGGAGTAACCCCTGTGCATCGCTGGGTGTGACCCAAAAAATAGAAAAAAAGAAAAAAAGGCGTGGTGTACTTACACAACAAAAGACTGTGCAGCAGTAAGAAAGAATGAAATCACACAATATACCTCTCTGGGTGGAAACAAGATAGAAATATCATATCTTAAGCAGAGTGAGAGTTAATAAAAGCTTTGTGAGCATTTTAATATCAACACTGTATTTATTTCTATAAAGCTAAACCTTAATTGCATTTCATATGTCAAAAAGATCAGCTCTCTTAGAAATTGTAAACAGAATCTTCTAGGATTCCTATCTGATTCTGAAATACTTTTATCATTTGGAAATCTGCTTAGAAAAACTGTGTTTTTGCAAAATAGTTTCATGTGCTTTCTGTCATCATTAGATTCTTGGAAAATGAAGTCTTTTCTGTTAAAAAATTGTGAAAGGATTTTCCTAACAGCTAACTTTCTGTATTAGTCAGCAGCTTTGATTTAACTTAAAAAACATGGTGTCAGACAGCGTTCCATGCCTGCTAAATAGTACCTCACCCAGACCTGCTGCAGGTTTCCTCCTTCCCCTGATTCAATCTTGAACAGATGTAAGCTGTTAGGGTCTCATTCCTTACTCCGAGATTTTCAAGCTGAGGATAACAGGTGCTGACTTTGCACATGCCTCATCTGGATGGTGCAAGATCATAAGGATACCCCAAGCCCTGCTGGGATTGAGCAGGTTTTTCCCCTCAAACAGAAAAATTATCAAGCTATGTGAAATAGGCTTCTTTATAATAAATTATATGTGAGGTGTCTGTTATTTCACCCTGACCTGATTTATTTATTTTCTTTTTTTCTTCAGGAATCTAGATAAGAGTTTGCCAGTTGTTTATTCTTCAAGTGTGCTTAGTTTCTTTGACCTTCTGTTTTGTTTTCTTTATTTCTATGTCATTGTTTTCTGTGCTGTTTCATTATTTTCTTCCTCCTACTTATTTTTGAGTTCTTGTTGTCCTTTCTCTAGGTTTGCAAGTTTAGAGATTAGATAATTTATTTGAGCTCTTTCTCATTTCTTTATGTAAGCCCATACTGGTATGAATTTCCCCCTTAGTACTGTTTTTTCTGTGTCCCATAGAAAACTGTGTAGACTGTAGGAAGGAGGAAGGAAGGAAGGAAGGAAGGAAGGAAGGAAGGAAGGAAGGAAGGAAGGAAGGAAGGAAGGAGAGAAGGAGGGAGGGAAGGAAGGAGGGAAGGAAGGGAAAGAAAGAAAGAAAGAAAGAAAGAAAGAAAGAAAGAAAGAAAGAAAGAGAAAGGGAAAAGAAAGAGAGAGAAAGATAAAGAAAGAGAGAAAGAAAAAGAGAGAGAGGGTGGGAGAAGGGAAGAAGGGAGGAAACCCTTTCAGAGACTCTTTCTGTGGGTATAGATATTTATTATTCAGCATTACGTTCTAGTAGTGTGCAGAAAATGCTAAGGGCATACTGACCTGTTGAGTTCATTGCTGTTAGAGTTGCTAGAAAAAGGAAAATGGCAACACAGATTATGGTTGCAAGTTCTTTTGAGCCAGGTCTCAGATCCAAGGCTGCTCACCATCCTAGCTCTTGATGACAGCTATGATGAGGAAGGTCAGTTCTCATCAGTCAAAACAAACATTAGCCAGACCCAAACAATGACCCCAGTAGACCCTGACCCCCCCAAAAAATAATTACAATAAACAAGACTTTGTTTTCATGGTCTTCTTCCTCCTGTAGACTATAGACCTAAGTGCACTCTTTCCTTTTGTTTTAGAGTCACACTCAGCGATGCTCAGGGGTTACTCCTGGCTCTGCACTCAGGGATAACTCCTGGCAGTGCTTTAGGGACCATATGGGGTGCTGGAGATTGAACCCAAGTCAGCCATGTGCAAGGCATACACACTTCCTGCTGTGCTATTGCTCTAACCCATCTTAGTTTAGTTTAATTCTTTCTGGAGAGCTGTGAAGTGGCACTTAGGAACCTGGGGGCATCCCAGGGGCTCTCAGCAAAGTGTACCTAACAGTTCATTGCTAGAACTTGGGCTTCTCATGTTACTTGGCACTGCTGAGAACCCAGGGCCACCAGACACTCCCCACACAGCACTGCTTGGCGCTCCCCATGGTGCAGGGGCTCTAAGCAGGGTTGGGCTAAAGAAAGCTCCCCCCTCCCGCCCCATCCTGTAGTGCTTGACTGATTAACTCGTGAGACAATCAGGCAAACAGAATATTTAAGAAATTCTTCCTGCACCAAAGGAAAAACATGCAAGCAATGCCAAAAGTAGACAGACTATTTTGAAAAATGATAAATGAAGGCTGGCATCCAGTTCAAGGACTGGGCACATGGTTTGCAGCAGGAGACCTGGGTTTCATCACCAGCATCACTGGGTCCCCTGAGCACCTCCACAGCAAACCCAGGAGAAAGCCATGAGCAGCCTCTGAACACCACCAGGTGGCACTCAAAGCAACAAATGAAATTCAAGAAATGAATAAAGATGCATACTTCACCAGAGAATAATATAACACTATAATTTTTTTAAATTTTTATTAGTGAGACATCATGAGGTACAGTTGCAGACTTACAAATTTTTGTGCTTGGGTTTCAATTATACAATGATCAAATACCCATCCCTTCACCAGTGCCCATTTCCCACCACCATGGATCCCAGTATCTCTCCCACCCTCCATCCCCCCCATCCCACCCTGCCTCTGTGGCAGGGCATTCCCTTTTGTTCTCTCTCTCTTATTGGGTGTTGGATATAACACTATAATTTTTTAAATAACTGATAGCTTGGGAAATTATTGCATTATGTGAAAACATTTATAATCTATATAACTGCAATTGGAATCTCGGGTAGAGCATTTGCCTTGCACACAGCCAACCTGGGTTCAATTCCTCTGATATGTCAAAAACAGTAACAATAAGTCTCACAATGGAGACGTTACTGGTGCCCGCTCAAGCAAACCAATGAACAATGGGAGGACAGTGCTACAGTGCTACACACACATACACACACACACACACACACACGCACACACACTTAACATGGCCACCAGAAAACATTACCAAGATTTCTTTAATTAAGTATAGACCTATACATGACCCAGCAATTCACCTTTTATCCAAGGCAAGGAGGACACTGGTTGGAAAGATATTTTCCTGAGATCTCACTTTTGTCAAGCTTTGTAGAAGCCAAAAAGATAAGCAAGTACCCACTGAGAGAGCAACTGAGAACCCCAGAGAGGAACATGACTCAGCCCAAAACAAGATGGAACACTTTGCACCAGCATGGAGAGACCTGGAGGCGATTATGCTCAGGAAATAGTGGTCAATGAGAGATGACTCTGGGATGCTTCATACATACACGGAACAAAAATGACAAACTCAAACAAAGAAACAAAACCACTCTCAGGCCAGCAACTGAACCGGGCACAAGAGAGTAAGTGGTGGGTGGCTGGAGAGTTTCACACAGCCTGTGGCCCTCACAGGCAGAAACAGCGCACTTGACACACAGAATTGTAAGCCGGTGACATCAGTACAAGAAGATAAAAAGAAACTTCTGAAGGAGCAAACCCTCTACAGAAGTGTTTCCACGGGCATATTACAGCTCCTTTTATTCATGGAACTGGAAACTGAGAGCTCATCAATAAAGCAAGAAGGAAAAACAGGGAAAATCATGAAGAAAATGTCCCCCAGTGACGCAGTTTTAATAGGTAAGTTGAAAGTTGTTTCAGTCTAATTCTTACCCTTTTACTTCCAAATTAAATGTAATTGGTCTGTGAATAACCTGTGACTGAATAATCGAGACACAACCCCTCAATCTGAGTCTTTATTATTTCCCTGGGAAAAACAGGCCTGTCAGGAGCGGCTGGGCTGAGCCGCAAGTGCACCCCCATCAGCCATGCACATGGGTCCCCCCTACCACATTCAGCTGAGGAACGGTGTCAGATGGCACTCTCGCTCAGTACTCGTCAGCAAACGGGTAGTTGGGGTGGCCAATCCCACTGTGGGGAAGGAGAAGCCCGGGTTAGTGTGGTGGCCGCCTTCTCGTTGTCATGGCTGGGGAGGGGTTGGTCAGGATCCCCCAGTCTCCTACTCCTGGGCAGGGGAAGTCCCCAAACACCTGTCCAACCCCAGAGCACTGCTAAATGCTGCTCAGCTCCGGACGCTGCTGGGCCCAGGGGTCTGACCGAGGCTGAAGAGCTCCAGCCCGGGACTGATGCGCTTCCTCCCGGGTCACACTGTCCCGACAAGAGAAGGAGGCCCATGAGCCCGCCCTGCACTTTCTCCCCTCCCCAATGAAAACCTAGCCCCATGGGCCACTCTAGGGGATTTGGGTTACCCCCTGGAAACACCCCCACAGGGGACGCCAGGGGGCGTGCAGTTCCTCCCCTTGAAATGTTCCTTCTCTGTCACTCTGTAGTCGGCTCTCTCCTCTGCCTCCTTCTACATATCTCTCCTTTGGGATGCCCTGACCTGTCCCCCAGCTGTCCTTCAGTCCCTGGGGTGATCTTTCTGTGTGAGACAGAATCAGGGAGCGGGTCCCCAGACACAAAGTCTGGGATCAGGCCACGACAGTGATTTCTCAGAGCTGACCAGGGCATTTTGCGGTGGCTTCTGGGCCCAGTCCCCCACTGCTATCGACCCTGCTCCCTGGGATGGACATCAGGTCTGCGGAGTCCAGAAGCTCAGTTCCAAGCCTCTGACACTACAAAGCCTGTCCCGCTAAACCTCCAACTCCCCGAACTCCCCAGGAGAATCATCACTTCACACTCACAAGTCCATTTTGAAATAGCGAAAGTTATTGTTGAGTCCGTCAATAGCTTTCATGTCCTCCGGGGTCAGTTCAAAGTCAAACACCTGCAGAAAAGAAAGAATGTGCTGGAAGTCACCCAGCACCCAGCAAGCAGTCTCTCCTCAGGACAGGGCTCCTGCAGACACAGAGGGTGGGGTCTGGCACCAGTCCCATGTGTGTTGCTCATCCCTCTGCCTTGGGTCCCCCCGCCGGGATGCCCCCTCTTTGACTATCTACATTTCACTGAAGGAAGCCTCAGGTCTCAGCCAAACAACTCTTTCCAGGCAGATTGCTGTGAATCCAGGGAACCTTTCTTTGTCCTTCTCAGAGGAACAGCAAGGTCGACTGAACAAAACCACTGTTGCACATGTGGGGTCCCTCCTTCCTGCAGAACCCCAGGAGTTGGATGAGCCTTGTATCTTGAGCAAGCTTGAGATGAGACAACAGACAGCCTGGACGGTCTCTCTATAACTGCCAGTCTCGGGAAAATCACTGATCTTCCTGTCAGCCTCTCTGAGTGACGTCCTCAGTCCAGATTAGTTTCTACTTGACATTCATGGTCCTGATGGAGATGCCATTAGCATCAAGCGGGCAGACACCGGCAAGAAACACTGAAGTGGGGAGCAGAGAGATTGATCCATTGGACAGCCTCATGGAGAGCACAACGGTGCTCTTGCTGTCACCTGTCTGTCCCTCTGCTGTTTCCTTCAAGTGCTGCAGGCAGGTCAGGGTGCCATGGGCTCTGAAGAAACATGTCAGCCTGAGCCAAAACAGAAGTTGGCCTTTCCTCTCCCTGAGTTGCCTTCATATGTCTCCGTGGATCGAATGATGAAAGCCCAGAGCTTCAAGGCCAGGAACGTGCGCTCTAGGACTAATTGTCATGGGTCCCATTCTGCAAACTTTAAACTGATACTGACCTCTCAGGCTGCCATCAGTGGACACAGGCTCTCCAAGTGTGTCCAGGTTCGCAGGAAACCCCGGCAGTGAGCACTGTCCGTAGGAGGCCCGGGGAGAGGAGAGGACTCTGGAGACCCCTCCCCTGTGATCCTCCTTCCCACCCCGGCCTTCCAGGTTCTGTGTGGGGACAGTGAGCACCATGGCACTGCACCAGGTCAGGCTGGAGAGCTCCCGACACCTCCCCCTCAGATTCAGTTTCAAGAGGAGATGCTGGGGAGCCAAAAAGCACTGAGGCCCGAGGTGGGGCTGGGCGTCCCCTCCCAAAGGCCAGACCCCATGGCTCCAGGTGCAAACAGAGCATCACGGGGTAGGGAAGGGAGGAAGAGAACCAAGGTTTCCTAGTGGCTGTGTACAGAAGGGCCCCAAGCCTGACATTCACAGAGCTAATTTTGCTCACATCACACCCAGGAGGTAACAGAGCCAGCCCAAGGCCCCAACTTGTGTCTGGGAGTGTCCTGTGCCACTGAGGCTGGGCCCTTGGACAGCAGGGAGAGACGTGAGGAGTGGGTGTGTGGGTGCCGGCTCACAGGTGAAAGTCGGTGACTTGTCACCCTCATCACCCTGGCCACCGCACCCATACCTGGAAGTTCTCCTTGATCCTCTTCTCACTGAAGCTCTTGGCCAGCACCACCGCCCCCCGCTGCAGCTGGTAACGCAGGGCCACCTGCCCCGGGCTGCGGCCGTGTTTCTTGGCGATGGCCCTCAGGACTGGCTCCTCCAGGAGATATGGACTGTCTTGGGGGATCCTAAAAACAAAACCCAAACACGTGATGTGAAGCATGTGGGTGACGTTCCTGGCCCTCAGGTTCCCTGGAGAGCTGAGAGGCGGGAACATCTACTCTGACGTAAGGCTGGAAATTCCTGAGTATTCACGGAGATTCATTTTGCATCGCACCAAAATGGAAATGACAACTTTTGTTACCAAGCAAATGGGGGAGCAATCTGATGCACCCACAAAATCACACAGCAGGAGAAAGGGATGCTTGAATGTCAAGAGCCCATCCTGGGCCTGACGGCGGCCTCAGAGCCACATGCTTCGCTGCCGTGAAGACTGTTTTATGACTTCTTCTGTAGATGAGCACTGCAACCTACAGACACTGAAGTGGCAATAGAAGCAGCGAAAGGGTTCTGCTGAGCGAGAACTTCTGTGAGGGGACTAGGGGGTGGATGTTCTGTTTTCACCAGTGGGCAGTCACATCATCCACCCATGGTTAAACAGGGACAGTTACAATGACCTCACGCCCAGCTGGATGAGATGCAATCTAGGCTCATTTAGCAAATAACAGATGTTCGGGGGACACAATGCTCTTGGGCATCCCTTGTATGACCTAGGCCCCGGAGTCCATCTCTGGCACCACAGTGCTGCCCGGGTTGGCTGGCTGTGCTCTGCATGACAATAGTGACCAAAAAATATGAATCTGAGCAGACTGATTCATGGACCAAAGAAGGATGAACTGATGGAGAGTGCTTCATGAAACTGATGGCAGAGATTTAAAAAGTCTATTAGAAATGCTAAAACTGTTTCATTGTCAATAGATTGCTTAATTACTAGGTAAACAGAGACCCTTCATTACCATCGAGGGTCCCTGTGGGACCCCAGGGCGCTGTAGGCCACAAGGACGATGTCTCTGGCCCTGCAGAAGTCCAACAGCTTCTGCTGGTTCAGGTAGGGGTGACACTCCACCTGCAGGACCAAGAACACAGACTCAGGCCCCGAGGAAGCTCTCCAGCGTCAGGAGCAGATGGGGAGCTTGTTAGGGCATGTCCTTCCCATAGACCCTCTCACAGGCCAGCCAAGAGTGCCAGTGTCAGACCTGAGGAAACTGGTTTCTTCTGGTCTTCATTGGTGTTTGGGACACCTACACCCCTGTTGACAGAGACCAAGGTGCTGAGACACCCAGCTGGCTCAGTGCTGGCAGAAAAGCCACAGTTTGAACCCAGAACACCTGACCCCATGGAAATAGGGACAGCGGGTGCCAAGATTCCTGGGAAGGCCTCCTGCTGACAATGATGACAGTTGGCCCTTAGCGATCACAGCAACGGCACAGCTAAGAAATGTGCTTCTCGTCACGACTCAGGAACCATGATAATGTACCAATGTGGTCAAATCTTCAGATCTAACCTCCAACTACAGGAATGTCTCTGGGATCAATGAGAATAATTTCAATGTAGTTGAAGAATTAAGAAGGAAAGGTTGGGTTTCCTTTACAAGTAAATTTGAGGAGAGATCAGAAGCAAGAGAAGGTGGAGGGAGAAGAGGTGAAAGCAGAGATAAAGATGAGAGTCAGAAGAAGAGAAGAAAAGAGAAACGGCACGTATAAATTAAAGATATTTCAAGTGATTAAACAGCTGTAATGTTTGGACCTTATTTCATACCCCCTGTGAATAACAGCTAGAAAATCAAACAAAGACAGCAATGATTTAATCCTTGTATGGTGTTGGTAAGGAAACACTGCAGGCAAAGCCCGTTTGCTTGTCTACGCTTGCAGGTAAGATTAATCTCTGGCTGATGGGAAGAAGAGTCCCTACTTTTGACCTAGGTCCAGCAATCTCCATGGCCGACGTCTGCCATGTTAACAGACCCACACCACAGCCACTGAAAATGGGCAGCAAGGGAAGAGCAGGGCCCATCTTAATCCTTCAGCACCTTCTCTACTGGGTCTGACCACAAAGACCCACCCCAACTCTGCAAACGCCAGGAAACAAGCGGGGAAAACAGACGCCCACCTAGTTTCGTGAGGGAAACAATAACCAGAAGGCATAAGACACCAAGCAGCTTTGTTCATGCCCAGACAGTGTTTAATGCGCTCCCAGAAACGCTTGCATGCGTCATCCATGAAGCCTAGGAAACTGCTTGGCAATTGTGCTCTTGAAATGAGAAAACTGCCAACAGAAACCCAGTAGATGGCAGAGGCTACCAGACTCACTATCTCTGTGGTAGAATCACGGCGACTGAGGAAAGAAACCGAGAAGCTCCCAGGTGAAATGGAGAACACTCTAGAAAACACCAGAAGATTAGGGAAGTCTGTAAAGACATGAGCAGTGCACCAGAGACATATGGAACAGCTCAGGAGGGACAATAGAAGAATCAGTGGGCTCCCTGGGGACCAGAAAGGTGAATTTGATGAAGAACCAATAGTTAAAGGCATCATAGATAATTGGAATGAGAGTACAGTGGGGAGGGTGTTTGCCTTGCACGTGGCTGACCAGGGTTCAATCCCTGGCATCCCATATGAGTCCCCAGTCATTGCCAAGAGTAGTTCCTGGGTGCAGAGGCAGGAGTCATCCCTGAGCATCGCTGGTGTGACCCAAAAAAAAATAATAATAATAAAATAAATAAATAAATAAAAAAGAAAGAAAGAAATCATAGATAAGAATTACCTAGACTTGTAGAATTCAGGCAACCAAATACAAGAGGTCAGTAGAGTTCCAGTGAAAATAGATTCAACTAGGAAAACTCCAAGACACATAATGCTCAGAATGATAGAAGCCAAAACTAGAGACAGAGTAGAGAATGCATCAAGATCCAAAAAGGGAATTGCCATATGAAGGAAAACCTGTGAGCTTCTGGGATCTATCAGATGGGACTCTGCGCCTGAGGAGTTCGCGGGATAGAGGACAAAACACAAGGGATGGAAACCTCACCACGGACAGCCTCTGCACTCAATCCTCACTCAGAGGTGAAGGGACGGCACAGAAAAGCAATGGCTGAGGGATTCAGAGCCTCAGACCCAGTTTTACAAGAAGCACTAAAGGAGCTTCTTGAAAGGCAGGACAGGTTTCCCAGACGTGGCCCTGGGCCTGCCACTCATGGAACTCAGGGGCTCCCTGCGCTGTTTGGAAATGTTTGTTTACACAACTTGCTAAGGGCTTTTTATACATTTTCAATAATGAATGAAATCCCACTTACATTGATTGTTCTATGTCTGATCAGTGTTTCTTGCATGCATAGAGATTTTTACTGCAATTTTTACTTATAATACTATATTATTTACTGTATACTAATTACCATACTCAGGTACTATATTAAGCAGTATCAATAATTTAGTGTTCCCTAATAAAAAGCCAATATTTGCATTCTTAGGGTAAACATTTGTATTTATAGAGGCCTGTTCAGATTTTTCATGTTTAAACTTTCTTCTGTTCATTCTTACTAAATTTGATAGTTTAGGTTTCACCTATCTCATTTAAATTCTAAAATGTATTAGTAGATAATTTTTTTAAAGTTTCATTTCTGATAGGTCGAAGATATGATAATTACTACATAAGATTCAAGCACAAAATAAAATTTAATGCAATGTATTTTAGATGCCAGGGTTAAAAACTTATTTGTGTAAGTGACAATAGGCATAATATTATGTTGTGTTAAATAATTTGAATTTTTTTTCTTTTTGGGTCACACTGGCAATGCACAGGGGTTACTCCTGGATCTACACTCAGAAATTACGCCTAGTGGTGCTCAGGGTACTATATGGGAATCAAACCCAGGTTGGCTGCATGCAAGGCAAACGCCCTTCCTGCTGTACTACCACTCCAGCCCATAAATTGAATTTTTATTGACGCAGGTTAAAATCATACAACAATCAACCACACCAAAAAAGGCTTGTTGATTTGTTTTCTAATAATTACATTTGTCATTCTTTTAAGTTATGTTGGAGTAAGCAATATGAAATAAATTTGTTATATGCCTGGTGAGGCAGCAGGCTGAGAGGTGAAGGGAGCATGGAACTCTGATGGAGGGATTGGTGTTGGAACATTGTGTATCCAAAACAACTCTATTATGAGCAACTTTGTAAATCACATTATCTAAAAATAAATAAATGTTTTAAAGCTTTGCTAGGGAGGCTGGAGCAATAGCACAGCAGGTAGGGTGTTTGCCTTGCACACGGCTGACCTGGGTTCGATCTCCGGCATCCCATATGGTCCCCCAAGCACCGCCAGGAGTAATTCCTGAGTACAGAGCCAGGAATAACCCCTGGGCATCACTGGGTATGACCCAAAAAGCAAAAATAAATAAAAAATAAATAAAGCTTTGCTAGATGTTATAATGGTATAATGTTATTACAGCTATGTTTCTTAAAACATCTATATTTTAGAAACATGAGTTAAATACTTGAGATTAAATTTCTCTCCCCCAACAGCTCCTGCAGGGTTGCACTGAGTCCCCGGCACTGACCCAGGGACTGTCCGGCTGCTCACACAGGCCCCTTGGCTCACTCAGTCGATCAGACTCTCAGACACCCCTGGCTCCCAGCTCTCAGCCTGGCAGGTAACGCTGATGGGCCTCTGGCCAGACCCTGCCTCTCCCTGGCCTTGCGAGCTTTGAGCTCTCCCAAGACTGACCGTCCAGCTTCGGGAGCACAGTTGGCTAGCACAGACAGGGACAAGACCCCCTCCAACTCCTGGGGGGTCTCCAGACACAGGCCCTGGGCAAGGCTCCTCCTAGGACATGTCCACAGGCTCCTGCGTGCCCACCCAGGAGAGGGCTCTGCCCCCATCCGCCCTCCCTGCCCGCTCGGTCATCTCTGCAGTCAGGACCCCTGGGGACAGTGGGAGCTGGGAGGGAGCAGGGGGCAAATGGGGCCCACCCTCGGCTCACCTGGTTACACACGGGCTTGTACTTGAGCCCCGGCTTGCTGAGGATCATCTCCAGCTGTTTGCGGTTGAAGTTGGACACGCCGATGGACCTGGTCAGCCCTGCGTCTTTGCAGCTCTCCAGGGCCTGGGGACGGTGCACAGGAAGCCCTGTCATCTGCCCGCGCCCCGTGACAGGGTCCCCTGAGACCATGTCCCCAGGAGCCCCCTTTCCACAGCTGGGTCACTGCCGTCAGGGCTGCGTCTCTCCCCGCACCCCAGTCGTGTCCATGTCTGGGGATTGTCCCTGGTTTATGGGGCCCTCAGGAGGTGCTCGGGGCTCACACAGGTCCAGGACGGAACTTCCCCAGGTCAGGCGCGTCCTCAACCCCTTGGGCCTTCTCCTGTCCTGTGGAAGTTCCTTGACAGGCACCAGCAATGGGCCAAGAGAGAGAGAGTGGGATGTGTCCGCAGTGGGCATGTGCCTGCCCCAGGATGGAGGAGGCCTGGACAGGTTCTTTGATGCTTCACCCCAATACTCCCTCCCCTCCGCTGAAGTCACAGCCCCTTCCCCATGTAGGTATGCCAGAATCCCCTGGCCTGACCCCTACTGCCCTGTGTGTCTCACCCAATCCCACTAAAGCAGGGGCTCAAGAAAGCCCACTGTGGCCCCCTGAAGATCAGCTGGCAACCGAGACTGGGCAAACCTTACACTCCACCACTGGCAGACGAGAACCCCGGAGCAGGGGCAGACTCGAGGCTAGAGCCTCAGCGACAAACTCTCCTTTCCAGAGATCTGGGGGCAGGCATCCCTCGTTGCAGGCTGCACGTACCTCCCACGTCTGACGCAGGTCCACGGTGTCGTGGAGCATCTTCCCACTGGCATCCGTGGGCAGGAGTTCCTCTCCTGGCTGCGGACAGAGACAGGGCAGAGGAGATGTCTCACAGCGGTTTCACATCTCAGCCACCGCACAGAGGACATGTGTGGGTGCACGTATATGTGTATGTGTGTGTGAGTGTGTGTATAGGTACACATGTGTGTCTGTGTGTATACATGTTTGTATGTGTGCATACGTGTGTATGTGTATGAGTGTGTGTATGTGTGTGCACATATATGTACATGTGCATACGTGTATATATGTCATCCCTGATTTCAGTTCTCTAAAGCCTGGGACAGGGAATAAAAACGCAGGTAGACAGGTGTCTCAAGAGAAGCAGAAAATGTCCCATCACCCACATCCACCTCCTGGGCCCCCACCCAACAGCAGCCGTGCGGCCAGAGCAGGGTGAAGTCTCCTCCCAGAGTGGGCTACCTGCAGGGCGACAGGAATGTGAAGGATGACAAGGTCCACGTAGTCCAGTTTGAGCTTCTTCAAGGATCGGTCCAGGCACTGACGAACCAATTCAGGTCGGAAAAAAGTTCCCCAGATCTGCAGTGTCCAAAGAACTATCAGTAGTTTCTAGTTTTACACATTTGGCAAATAAATTCAGTCAAAACATTCAAAGTATGAACATTAGGACCCAGGAGACAATTTCAAAGATTAAAGCATATAAGTCATGTGCAGGGTCCCTGGGTTCCACTGACCTCTTGGTCCCCGTGCACACACCGGGGGGAGTCCCCAAGCACTGAACCCCAGAAGGCAGGCTAGACCAGGGGCCAACTGCAGCTGCATTCCCACATAACAGACCCCATCCTGGGCCCTCGCCAACACGATTTACACCATCACAATTTACACCAACACGATTTACACCAACACGATTTACACCACCAGGCAGGTCCTTCCCTCTCCAAAGGCCTCGGCCACGCTGGAGGGAACAGACACTCACACCCATACTGCCTGGGGGCGCCCTCTGGGGTAGCAAGCCAGCCCCGCATACCTTGGTGGTGTAGAACAAGTCCTCCCTCTTCACAGTGCCATCAGCCATCTTCTTACGCATCGCCTCTCCTACCTCCTCCTCGTTCTGGTATAAGTAGGCAGCATCTATGTGCCGGTAGCCAACGTCAATGGCCACTTCGGTGGCCTCACGGGCTTTGCTCTTTGGAACCTTCAAAATACAAGTGAGGAAGACAGTTGACCTCCTGGCTCAGGGGGAGTGGTTCCCCCAGCTCCTCTCAGGGAATGCCTGTGGGCCCCCTGTCACCTCCTCCCTGAGGCCCTCCAGCCTCTGCAGCTCCTCCTCCCTGCCCTCACACTCCCTTTCTCCTGCACTAGGGGTGACTATTTTAACCCCGGGGAGGGAGCTGGTGCCGGGGCAGTCAGAGTCTCCACCTCCTCAAAGCCCAGGGCCGGCCCATGGGGTCCCCACAAACTCCCCCCTCCCACAGGAGAACTGCAGCTGGGGCCAGGCTGGGCGTGGCTGGTGCCCCAGGATTCCCTCTGAGAGATGTTGACTGCCCCCGGTTGCTTGGACCCCAGAGAACAAAGGTGTCCTGCGGCTTCTGCCCCAGAAACACCAGGGGCTTCTGTTCGGAGACCCGCCTCAGCCCTGAGGAGACCCATCCCACACGCTGGTTTCCCCACCAGGGCCTGTGGGCGACCCTGGGTGCTGGGGTCCCTGAGAAGGGGGAGGACAAGTCACAGGCCAGGACGTAGTGATGAGACGGGCAGAAGCCATGCGATTCACGGGGACCATGACCTCCCCCACACTCACAGTTCCTGACCCGGAGGGGCAGCGAGGGTCTGCACAGATCAGTCTGCCCGGGGCTACAGGGGTTACCTGCCCTGTCCCAGGTCCAGCCTCTCAGCCCTGTGGGAACATCAGGACCAGGATGAGAGAAGCGGAGCGGGTGCCCAAAGGCTGTTTCCTTGGCTCCCCTGGCACAACCAGTGCATTTTGCCTGGTAAATATTTGTTATTTAAATCTCTATTCTCTGGCGAGCAAGCTCCAGGGGCCTCGGGCCCTCCAGGGACCAAAGAAGCACAGAGAGACTGGCGACTGGCCACTCTCTGAGGGGACTGGAGGAAGGACAGGACATATGCTGGGCACAAAGGAAGAGGAATGAAAGATCTGGGCCGGAAATCAGAGCAGCAGGACAGCAGGTGGGGACCGGCCTTGTACATGGCTGACTGGGTTCCAGCCCCAGCCCTTCTAGGAATGATCCTCAAGCACAAAACCAGGAGGGAGATATGAACTGCTAGGTGTGGCCCAAAAACAAAGAAACAAAAACCCATCTCTGTGCAAAGCCTTAGGGTCACTGGTAGGATTCAGTCCATGTGAGTTGACCAAAATGATCAGAGTGACGATAATAATATATGAAGATAGGAACATTATTAATATTTATCTGTGTTTATTGCTTTATGTATAATAGCCCAATCATATGAATGATAACAATAAAGATCTCTCAGCATCACAGTGACTACTACTGTGTCCACAAGTCAGCGGCTGGACATCCTGCTTCAAACAGGTCAGCGTTGGTAAGCCTCCTTCCACAGTACTTAGGGGCAGGCAGGACCCCAGGGCAAAGGCACTCAGCTTCGGTCCACGACATTAAATATGGTCCCTGCGCACAGCCAGGAGTGGCCCCTGAGCAACACAGGGTGTGGACCCAAACCAAACAAAACAAATAAAAAAGAAAGCAGCATTCTGGAGAGCAGTGCATCCAGCATCCTCATGAATCCCCTACGTGACGGGGCAGCACCGGATAACCGTCCCCTCATGCACCCCACAGACACCCTGGCAATTGTGGCCTCCAACACTCATGGGTTAGTAGAGCCCCAGGTCACCCGGGAAGCAGCTGAGTGACAAAAAAAACTCGGGGACTGCCAGGATCACCATGTCCCATGCAGCCCTGCTGGTGTCCTGGGCATCTGGTGTGCCCTGGGCAGCCTCAAGGCACCCTCCGCCCCTGTGTGCCAGCGCTGAGTCCTGTTTGCAGGAAGCCCTCGGGCCAGCCCTGTGTCCCCGTCCCACTCACATCGGGAGAGGCGTAGGTGCCAAGCCCCAGCACTGGCATGTAGTTCCCGTCACTCAGCTTCACGCTCCGACTCCCCTTGAGGTCCATTCCACACAGTGCTGCTTTCTGAGGTGCTTCCTCTGACCAAACCCAGAGTCCAAAGTCCTTCACTGGCAAGTGTCGGGGTTCTTATTCCCCCCTAACAAATAGGCGGGCCGGGGCATGATGCCAAGGATTCCAAAGTGAAACTGGGCCAGGCACTACAGTTTCTGGGCGTCCCCTGTGTCCACAGGGAGCTGCAGGGGCCTCTCACCCCACCCCCACCCACGGCCCAGCACTGGTGGGAGGGGACAGACCTTATGTGGCCACTGGTGGCAACCAACCTGCATGGACCTTTCTCGGCGGTCATGGCACAGAGCTTGGCCACTGTCCCTGCTGCCTCCTCAGACACCCACGGAAAGTTGAGGCTTATAATGGGCAAGCCCAGGACGCCCCTTGGGCTGAGCCCACCCGCACAAACGCCCCGGGGCCTGCCTGAGCACCTGCTGCAGAGCCCCGAGCTGGGCTTAGAATCTTCCTGGCAGGAAGTACAGTGGCCTGAGGAGCTCGAAGGCCCAGGCCCTGTGTTGGCCCCGTGGGCTCCCACTTCTTCGTGGGAAGCAGCTTGGCCTGGGCCCCTCTGAGCGCTCTTGTCCTCAAGGATGAGCTCTGCCCCCACCAGGTGCCCCTCACAGCCTCTGCAGATCAGGCAGGTCCCCTCCTTTGGCCAGCACAGTGCACTCACACGTCCCCCACAGCAGATGGGTCAGCCCTAAGGACCCTCCACAAGGGACCCTCCTACACTGGGACCCTCCTACACTGGGACCCTCCACACGGAACCTTCCTACACTGGGACCCTCCTATACCAGGACCCTCCTACACCAGGACTACCCCCATACCGGGATACTGAGCGTGTTCCCCTGTATGATTGGCATGGGGACAGCAGTATCTAGAGCCAATCCGGAAGGAAGCTGGTTCCTAACTTACTCAGCCCCTCCTGTGGCTGGTAGCAAGTGCTGGCCTTGTCCATTGGCCATGTTCAGTGGCCCTGTTAGTGTCCTGGGCCCCCTGCACAGAGGGCAGCCACCTTCATGCCAATAACAGGGCGAGACAGTGCAGGTGCCCCTGCTCAGCCTGGACCTGGACTAAGGCCACCCAGGCTCCACTCATGTGTGCTCTTCCTCCCTCCCTCCCCTCAAGCTCTGGACTCCAGCTCCTTGGTTGTGAACTCAGCAACACACTCCCCTGTGACATCCTAGACCAAGACCCTACAGCCATGTGCTGTGCTTATCTATGCCAGCCCCTGCCCCACATCCCCATTGTGTCACACACACACACACACACACACACACACACACACACAGTCTCCCTGTGGCCCCAAATGTGTTGTGTCATCTCCAAGTCCTTAACTAATGAAGCTGAACTTCCATGAAAGGAACAGCCACACTGGCTAGGGGGCACCTTTCAGGGCTAACAGGCAGGCAGAGATTATATGCTTGTTTGCACTCATCCTGCTTGCATTCCTGGCCCACCCCAAGTACTACCAGGAAAATCCCTGAGCGTAGAGCAAGCAGTAAGTCCCGAGCAACACCAGGTGTGGCTCAATACTTGTTAAATGCATTTCCATCATAAAATATCCACAAGAGTTGGCCCAAGCCCTGCCACACTCATGCTGAAGCAGCACAGGGAGCACCAGCCAGGTTGATATCCTTAGTCATGCTTGTACTGTTCACCCCCACGTGGTGTCAGCAGAACCCTAGCTGCACCCCTTCAAGATCTGCACAGAGAACCAGCTGAGCCATGCCTGTTGGGTGTCACCAATCCCACAAGCTGGCATGAAGCCCCGAGCATGGGGGACACACACACAGGATGCTGGGAGAACAGGCCGTGGCTGAGCCCACCCAGCCCAGAGTGGGGCAGGCACTTCTACAGTGACCTGCGTGGGCTCCCACAGTGACTCACACTCACGACCCCACACACACTCGGCCAGTAGCTCCCACGGGCAAGACACAGGCCCATGGCACCGTACGAGGGTCTCTTCAATGAGTTCATTACCCAGCACAAGATGGGAGAGTCCAAGGAGGAGGGCAGCATGGGAAAGGGGCTGAGGCAAGAAGGTGGGCAGGACACTCACAGAGCGGCAGAGCGGCAGGAGGAGGGCTGGGGCCCACAGCCAGGCTTGATGCCTGGATTTATCCCACATAGAAAGATCAGAAGGCCAGAAGGATGACAGCAGGGGTGGGTCTGGGCCTGGAGTCTGGAGTTGCCCAATGCCAGGTCAGGGACGTGGATGATGGGGCAGGACTGCGAGAGGCCAGTTTACCTCTCCAGGGGGAATTGAGAAAGCCATGTGAGATAAGGAAGGAGAGAGAGGAAGAGAGGGAGAGGGAGAGAGAGACAGAGATAGGGAGAGAGGTAGAGAGGGGGAGAAAGAGAGACACAGAGAGAAGAAGAGGGAGGGAGAGAGACAAAGACAAAGAAGATTGAGAGAGATAGAAACAGACAGACAGACAGATAGACAAGGGCATAGAGAGACAGAGATAGAGAGGAAGAGAGGTTGATAGAGATAGAGGTAGACAGAGAGAGGAAGAGGGGCAGAGACAGAGACAGACAGACAGAGGAAGAGAGAGAGACAGAGAGAGAGGGAGGGAGAGAGACATAGACAGAGGAAGAGAGAGACAGAGACAGAGAGGAAGAGAGAGGGAGAGAGACAGAAAAGAAGAGGGACAGAGAGACAGAGACAGAGGAAGAGAGAGAGACAGAGACAGAGAGGAAGAGAGAGGGAGAGAGACAGAGACAGAGGAAGAGAGAGAGACACAAAGAGAGACAGAGAGAGGAGAGGGATGGAGAGAGACCAAGAGAGGAAGGGGAGGGGGGCACTAGCAGACAAGCCTAAGCAACCAGACTCGGCCATTTGGCTCTTGTCCTGAAACACAAAGTGGAAGGAGAAGGGGGCCGGCCTGCGCTGGGCAGGGCCCAGGGGGTGAAGTCTGGCTGGGGACAGGGGGCAGTGAGGGGTGGGGGAGGGGAGAGGGGAGGGGCCTTTGAGCCACAGGGTGTGGAGGTAAGTAGACATGGTCCCACAGAGCAGACAGTGAGAAGATTAGGAGAAATGGGGTGAGGGGTTCGAAGTGGGGCCAGAGAAACTGTGCTTTCTGGAGTCGTAGCAGGCTGGCTCACCCCAAAATACCATTTTTCTGAGGCTGGATTTAGTGCTGTGGGAGCAGTGGACTGGAGATATTTGATTCCTTGCAGGGGGATCTGTGGATTGGTGGTCTCCACAGCCTCACTTTCAGAGCAAGGTCACTCCCCAGGAGCCCTAGACCCATCTCCTGGAGATGGCGACTGAGTCCGAAGGGGCAGCTCTCCTCTGGAGAAGCACACCCCCCAGCTGCACCCAAGGAGCCTACCAGGTGCAAGGGAAAGCAGAGAGCACACGACAGAGACCTCCGTCTGCACAACTCTGCACACCTGTCACACCCACTCTCAGCTGCTCTCCTTCCCAGCCCTGCCCCTGCCTCACTGTCCAGGAGACCAGGGGAGGGTGGGCTGCAGCAGTGCTGGCCCAGAGAGGTACGGACCTCCGGAGGCCTTGCACCCTGACCACAGGTCATTTTCAAGGTCATGCCTGCGATTTCAGGATTTTGTTCCTTACTTTTCTGATTCTCAGACCCCACGCTGGCACACGCTATGGGGCACCTGAGAAGCCCCGGGAACTAAGAACCAAGAATTCCTCTCTGGTCTCAGGGCAGCTGGGTGGCAGGATGGGTCACAGTGGGAAGAGAAGCTTCCAGAACTAGAATGATCTCCATAACCGACATCCTCATCTACAAACTTGACCCCAGCGGGCAGGGATTGGGAGAGAGTGTGAGCAGAGGTGGGAGCTCAAGGGCCTGAACACTCGTAGAATCTTCTGGGAGCTTCTCTGGGCTGAGCAGAGGTTTCCTCGGTGAACCCAGGTGGGACAGGAGCAGGAGTTACACAAGCTTCTCGAGGGCCTACACTCGGGCCGTTCTTTGCTGTTTGTTTTGAAAAGCCAGGCAACTGGTATTCTGCCCAGCCCTTCACCTCACACCACCCCCAGCTCTTACATAACCACTCACCCTCTCCTGAGTCATTCCCTCTGGCATGGACAGGAATCATTAAGTTTCTGCCCTAGGCAAAGCAAAAGTTTGCAGCATTGAAGTTCCCTGGTTTTGGATCTCCCTCCTACAGGTATGGGCTCCAGATACGCAGGGTCACTGTCCCGACACCAACTCCTGGGGAGTTGGGGAATCAAAACCACCAAATGCTTGAGTGATAACACACCCTGCATCCAAGTGTGGTTGCCTCTTGGCAGCCTCGAGCAAGCGACAGGAGCATCCCTGCCGTCCCCCAGGCACTGTGCAGACAGGCAAACGGACCCCACTCCACCCCCCACGAAAGAATGCTCTCCCTTTGTCTCCCAAACTCTTGCAAACAGGAAACCTGCGTTCTCAAGACAACACAGGGCCCCTGTGCCAAGCTCTGGGCATGCAGGGTGAAGCTGCAGAGCACGTGAGGGCTAGAGCTCAAGCAGCCCCCAGAAGGCTGTGATAAGCAAACAAGGAGGGAAAACAAAAACCCCCGCTTTGGCCCTTTTCCATGAAGGAAGAGACACTCTGTTCCCTCTTTGCTTCCTGATGATTTCTAATGGCCCAGAAAATGCAGAGTCCCACACACAGGCCTCAAGGACCCTCCTCAGGCGGGGGTGAGCTGGGGACAAAGAAGAAAAAGGTCTGAATGAGAACTGGCCATTTGGCCTCAAAGATCACCCCTGCCAAGCTCCCTTTGGCAAACAGAATGGGACAAGTGGATTTTCTCTCCCCAAACATTCCTGCGTTTCTAAGAGGAAGATTATCCTACTGACCCAGGGCCAGTAGGATAGGAAGTTGATAGGAAGTTGAACTTTGAGTAAGTCCTACAAAGTGCTGAAACAGAGAGCCTCTGGATCAAGTTCTGCAGACAAAAAACAATTGCAATTTTGCAAAAATACAACTATACAGACACAATCTAGATTTCCTGGTTAAGGTCGCCAAAAGGTGACATAATCCTGGACACAGACATTTGGGCAGAATGGGGCCAGGGACAGCTTCCTGTGATGGGATGGTGCTGTCCAGTCACAGGAAGGAAGTCCCACGTAGGAAGGAAGTGTTCCCAA